AAGTCTACCACATTTTGTGCATAGTAAGTTGAAACCCTCGTAGGTAATTTTTAGATGTGTTTGCCAATCACAATGTATGTTTTGAGTGGTTTTTCTATGGGTACTAATACGCAAAGGCGAGCATACTTACCTCTTAGAGCAGATTTGGTGCAGGCATCTATACATATTAGTTGTCCTAACTTTCCTCGAATTTTTTGTAGTACGTCGTAGTCATAAAATTCTGTAGTTAATTTCGAGAGTCTTGCCTATATAGCTGAGTACCTTAGCGCAACTTTGAAGGCTACAAATCTAGGCTTCCATTTCCTTACTATAAGGAATTGATTCCCAATGAACCACGGGCCTTCATGTAGAGCCTTATTATAATTTTCTTCCTTAGTAAATTTTATTAGGTAATAGTCACACCCTAGGTCTACAAGAGATAGGGTTTCAGTTGGTCTCTATATCGCATGTAGTTTTTTTGGAGGAATTGGTAGCCCACTCTTCTGCCAAACATTTTAATAATGAGGGCGTTGGTCCAGTTTTTGTATATACGCTCCTTGTCCGATGAGGTCATAGGGATGAAGAAATCTGGGTTAGGGTAATTAATTATCTGTTTCGTCTTCCGGTTTATAAGAATCCATGTTTTGTTGTACTGTTATTTGCCTACCATCTGGGTTAGTGTTAGTGTTAGAAATTAAGGTATCCAAGAAGGATATCCTCTTTGTAGGATTGTTGCTAGTGTCCTTTACTTCTTTTGATAGTTCCTTAGGGAGTTGATCTATGCTAATTTCCATGTCTATTGGGGAGGCAGTGAGAGGCGAGCATGGAGTTGACATGGAGTTGGCTATCTCCTTCATTGATGCTTGGAGGTTCGTCTCTTCCGTTAAGGCAGGGAAGGTCATTTCCGTTTGGTTTGCGTTCAGGGGGCGGATGTAGAGAATGGAATACGGGTTTCCGGGAACCCAGTAACTCTTGCCTAAACTCTATATTTATATTAAAAAAATTCACTAAATATTTGTAAATATCTAACGGTGAACCCAGTTATTATTGTATATTAATTTGAAATTACGGTAGGAACCCATAAGCCTCAAATCCTGGATCTGCCTCTGTTTGGATTGTTTTTGTCTTGTGTGTACATTGGAGAGTGATGAAGATATTGGAAAAGTTTTGGGGAGTGGGATGGGAGAACATTAGAGAGAGGGAAGAGAATTTCTCTCTAACCCATGATAGAATTTTTTGAGTCAAGTTAATTCCAAGAAAAAGGTGTTTCAAGAAGATACATATGTTAAATTCTGAAATTTACAGCTAGTCCTACGACAAAAGATACGTTTTCCTTTTCTCTATTTTACGTTGGGGTGAATTAACTAGCTTTTCCAATATTTCTTGTAAAAGAGGTTGTTAATTCAGATATTTCCTATTTAACGCATTAATTCAATATAGTTAAAGTAAAAACTTGTAAATAATCAAAAAGAGGGAAGTAAGTAAATTGCCCATTAATTTCTTTTCTTCTGTTAAACTTAAACAGCCCACTTCAAAAAATCTGTTAGATTTAGGGTTCTAGACTACACAGGAAACTATATTTTCAGTTAATTTCACCTATTCACAACTGTTAATTAGTTCAATTGTAAAAAACTTACGCATTGTTTATAAAGATTAGGAAAAAACTAACTTGAGTCCCAAGCTTAACCTTCCGCAGAAATCAACACCTTTACCTCTCCTAAAAATTTGTTTGCTCCTAAATTTTCTCTGTTGGAAATAACCTTATCAAATATCTATAAATAGTCCATTATATTATAGCATTCACGTCAATAAGCTTCCGCCATTCGTTTAGGGTTTTCTTCCATAGTTCTTGTCTTCTTACTTGAGAGAACAGAAGTTCTTGTCTTTGCGAATTGCGGAAATTACTATTGTCTCAGTCTTGTGTTTCTCTATAAGCAAGAAAAAGAGACGGCCATATATACCATGTCGACGGTGCCAGCTGCACGCCGTGGGTGTATCATGGGTGTTCGGTTTCACCCTACCGAAGCAGAGTTGATCAACTTTCTGAAAAGGTTCCTAAAGGGCGAGCTTTTGCCGAGTGAATGCCCTAATTTCCAACTTGCCGATATCTATGGAGACCAACCACCATGGGAGATATTTGGAGCTTCTGATCATCCCGAAGAAGAGAAGGTTCGCTATATTTTTACTCGGTTGAAGAAGCAGAAGAGCGAACATACAAGGGTTCGTCGAAATTGCGCCAACGGAACATGGAAAGGCCAAACCGGTATTTTTCCTATCAAGAATGGTAAGGGAACTGTGGTTGGGTTTAGAAGATGTTTCAAGTTTCAAACTAGTAGTAAAGAAAGAGAGCATAATAAAATTTGGCTGATGAAAGAATATTCAGTCGGGGATGATTTCTTCAAAGAAAACAATATTCCTAAAGAGGATATCGTAGTGTGTCGAATCAAGAAGAATATAAGAGCTAAGAAAAATCATGGGGTAACTATGGAGGAGCAAGATGTTCCAAAAGTAATCGAAGCTATGTTGCATGGACCTGATGAAGTTTACGGCACAACAATACTATAACCAGCAACAATTTGTCAAGCAGCTGAACATCAAGTTATGGACGAGACTCAGAATATGAACGAACAGAATAATAATAATAATGACTGCTCCTACTACCAACAGGAGATTAATTGGGCTGATGATCTGCTCATAGGTATTGACGACTTTGGAGATATAATCTGGTGAGCATGAGTAAAGAAGGGGAAGTAGAACGAGGGAGGAGAGACGCAGCAATCAATTTATATAATTGGATGAAGTACTAGATGGAGTTTACAGAAAATAGAGAAGCTTTGACATATTTTGGCCTCGTTTGGCCATACATTTTGGCAACGTTTTTTTCAAATCTTTTTTGAAAACATTGTTTGTTCATAGATTAATGAAAAATTTTTGAAAAATTTTTGAAATTATTTTTCAATTTCCCAAAATCTTGTTTAGGGTGGATTTTGGGTGAAACTTGTTCTCCCGCTCACAAAACTTTAAATTATTTTCAAATAAAATGCATGTCCAAACATAATTTCAACTTCCAAAAATTATTTTTCAAAACTACTTCAAAAATTATTTTTTCAAGTTTTAACTAAATCTATGTCCAAACGCTAGCTTAGTTTCTAATTTTAACTTTGAGGAAAGCAAAAGAAACTTACTACTATTTCTTAGTACTACTAGGTAACAATTTCTCATTGGAATAAACTTCGANATATATATATATATATATGTGGAGTATCACTTAGTATAACTTTGACATGATTTCCTGTTATATATTGTTGTAGGTATAGTGCTTACTATCTGTTCCCTGACAGTAATTCTTTATCATCATTTATGCTTATAAATTTTTTTAACTACTTCATCTTTCACAATTTTTGTTTCGATCAAATCCATCCTCTGGTGGCTAGCTAAAGAACAAATTACTGCCCATATTATTCTTGTAGTGTATCTTATTTGTTTCACTAAACAAAATTATTTTTTGTTGTTTTGATTGCAACAGATGTCTTTCTTGTCAACTTAACTGTATTAAGCTTGTTGTTAAACACTGCTAAAGTAAACCAGTTTGAACCACAATCGCGAATTGTTTACAAGTAAAAGCAGTTAATTTTAAATTTTTTCTCGGTAGATTCAGAATATAGTGTAATTTGTATAATCCGATTATCTTCATTTCCTGTCTCCATTAATATTCCCCCAAGTTCTTATAACTTGGATGGATGATGATGTCCCATACTAATATCAATGGCGTATGCTTAATTAATTAACCACGTCTTAACCATGATTTGATTTTGAATATTTCCATATAAATAATATCTGTTAACAAAAGATTTGGCGCGCGTTCTTTCAATCATGGCAATTGGCGGTATACTATTTCCATTTATATACTCGGACTAAGGATGTTCAAGATGAGCACCTGAACACATAATAAAGTATTTCTATTAGACACTCGTTGGGGAGATATTAGGAAAATGGTTCTTGGATTTTATTTTTAGCTGGGGATCGGAGCCTTTAAATTTGGTTAACGGAGTAGGAGTTTGTTTTTAATTGATTGGGTTCTTTTTTAGCTGGCCAGTCTAATTTTTGGTTGTTATAGTAAATGCTTATATCCGATGTATATAATTACAGGAGATGGATGGCATATTTTTAGTGATTAACTTATCTACGTGACGGGCGCCTGAGAATACGTGCGCACAAAAGCTTTTCCAAAGTTTGAGACATAAGTGTCTAATAGAAACACTTTATAATGTGTTTAGGTGCTCCATTGAAATGAGCCTTAATTCGAATATCAAAATGAAATATGCTACCAAGTTTAAGCGGCTCTCGATATATTCCGGCTATATTTGCAGTCGTTCTTTAAAGGTTGGTTCAGTGAGTTAGCAGAAGTGTCGTGTTTGCATAGTTTGCTGAATTAGTAAACGGCAAACGGCCATAGATAGCCCTGATGTATGTGAACATCCCGAATCGAGTGAGAATTTAGGAACAAGAAGATTAGAGTTCAGTGAAATATTCGAGAAGGAGAAGAGATACAATGTTTTATGGACGAAAAGCTAATTACGCATTGAGCCTTTTCTATTTATATGTAGTCTGTTTACATACAAGTCCCATTTATAAAAGGAGCACAAAATAAAATAATGGCCAGTGGCCAGCCTAGATACTAAGTGTTCCTTATTGGGCATGAGGCTAGATAGTCAGATAGCCCAACACCCCCATCAAGTTCGAGGGGGAGAACACCTTCAACTTGGACAAAATGACTGATGGAGCACACCAGTAAGAGGCTTGGTGAAGATATCGACAAGTTAATTAGAGGTGGAAACATGAAACAGCTGAATCAAGCCATCCGTTAACTTCTTTCTGACAAAATGGCAATCCACCTCGATGTTCTTGGTACGCTCATGAAATACCGGATTCCTAGCAATATGAATGCAGCCTTGTTGTCACAAAAAAACAGAAACAGGATAAGAAACAGGAACATGAATGTCAGGAAGCAGCCTTGAGAGTCAAGTGAGTTCAGCCACCACTTTGCTGAGTGCCTTGTATTCAGTCTCAGGTTGTTTCTTAGATTTCCATGCTACTAAGCAATCACCCAGAAAAACACAAAACTCAGAGGCAGACTTGCGAGTATCAGGGCAAGCTGCCCAATCACTATTAGAATAAGCTGTGAGAGTACAATCAGGAGAATTAGAATAGAATAGCCCAACATCAATGGTATCCTTCAAGTACCTCAACATGTGAAAAGCAACAGTCATATGAGGCAATCTGGGAGCTTGTAAAAACCGACTTAAATGCTCTACACCAAAACATAAATAAGGTCTAGTATGAGTCAAGATGATAAGCTTGCCAATTAGACTCTTGTACCTTTCAGGATGGGCAAACAACCACCAGAGTCAGCCTTTAACTTGGAATTTAAATCCAAAGGAGAAATAACAGAAGACACCTCCAAATACTTAGCTTATTTAAATAAATCCAAAACAAATTTTCTCTAATTTAAGAATACACCATCAGGTGAAGTACTGAACTCAATCCCCAAGAAATAGTGCAAGAGACCCAAATCTTTTATCTTAAACTCATTATCCAAAAACTTCTTAAGAGCAGAAATTTCAACAAGATTGTTCCCTGTAAAGATTAAATCATCTACATATATATCAAGAATGATAATATCACCAGAAGACCCTTTGACAAATAGAGAGTAATCATTTAAGGAATGAGTGTACCCTCTTGAACATAAATCTTGAGACAACTTTGCATACCATCTGTCTGGAAAATTGCCTCAAGCCATAAAAGGATTTCTTTAGCTTACAAACTAAGGGGGCAGACGAGGAAGAAGAGGAAATGGAAAGACCTTGAGGAAGCTTCATGTAAACCTCCTCATGTAGATCGCCATGAAGGGAAGCATTATTCACATCAAGCTGAAACAGAGACCAACCATGCTTAACAGCAACAACTATAAGATATTTAACAGTGGACAATTTTACAATAGGTGAAAAAGTTTCAGTAAAATTCATTCCTTCCACATATGTATCATCCGTAATTACAAGCCCAGCTTTATATCTCTCTACATTACCATCAGCTCTATACTTGATTTTATATACTCATTTGTACCCAATAGGTTTCTTTCCAGCAGGTAGTTCAACAATATCCCAAGTATTATTGGCTTCTAGTGCCTCAAACCCCTTTCTAATTGCACCTTGCCATGCTGGAATAGGTGTTGCCTGAGCATAGGTGTAAAGTTCAGATTCAGCAGGCTGAACAAAAGAACAAGAAAAGGAGACAGAGAGCTGACACTTATAGTCTTGTAGATAGGATGGAAGATGGTGTGGTCTGTCAGATCTCCTTAAAGGAGAGTAAGAGGTTCAAGAACATGAGAAATTGTGTCAGGATTGAAAGTAGGTGAAGCAGGATTAGGAGAAGGAGGAGAAGTAAGATTTGACAAAGAAGTAGAAGGTGCAGCTGGAGAAGTAGATTTAGGATTAATATCATTATCAGAACATAATGTAGAAGGATAGGATAAGGAAGGACTATTAGGAGTAACTTCATTAGTAGGTATAATAGGAGTAGGAACAAGAACAGGAACAGCAGTGTCACTGAAAGGATCCAAAGCAAGACTGGGAGGAAGAATAGGAAACTGTGTGGCATGAGATGAAGAAGTGGAAGATGTATCAAACGGAAACACAAGCTCATGAAAGACAACATCTCTGGAAATGAAAAATTTGTGAGTATCTAAACAATATAGCTTAGCTTGTATTCCTTTTTGGCAAAAGGATATCCTAAAAGTACACATTTCATGGCCCTTGGTTAGAGTTTACTTTGTGGAATTGGGACTTTTGCATAGCACAAACAACCAAAAGATCTTAGATGATAATAAGATGGGACTTTCCCATGTAATATTTCAAAAGGTGATTTGTTGTTGAGTAATTTGGAAGGAAGCCTATTGATAATGTAAGTGGCTGTTAATAGGAAATCACCCCAGAATTTGAGTGGTAGCTTGGACTGGAATAGAAGAGCTCTAGATGATTCAAGTAATGTCCTATTTTCTTTTAACCATACCATTTTGCTGTGGTGTGTGAGGGCAACTAGTTTGATGAATGATGTCATTATCAGAGAAGAATAAAATAGCTATGTGACTGGATCGAAGTTCTAATGCATTGTCACTTCTAATAGATTGAACAATCATATTGAATTGAGTTTTTACCATGAGAACAAAAGCTTTGAGAAGAGAAAAGGCATTGCTTTTAGACCCCATTAGGTGAGTCAAAGTAGATCTACTAAAGTCATCCACAATTATTAAAAAATATCTACAACCAGAGTAAGTAGGAGTGTGATAGGGCCCTCAAGTGTCAACATAAATTAGTTGAAAAGATTTATTGGTTTGAATACTACTATTAGGGAAGGGCAATCTAGTTTGTCTAGCCATGGGACATACATTACAAGGAAAATATTATTTAGAAGAAATAAAAATAGCAGAAATAGTTTTCATTCTCACAAAAGGAACATGTGCACGTCTTTGGTGCTAAACAATATCCATGTCATTTTGAGAATCTTTATTACAAGTGGAAATGGAAGTATTTTTAGATGTTAGATTGTAAACAGAAAGATCAGAAACTAAGCTACAAGAATTGAAGTTTTCAGTAACAGAGTTCTGTGGGAGAGGTGTTAAAGGAAACTCGGCTTGTAGAGTCCATCATCCACTCTACCAAGCTCCAGAGGCTTCTTCAGAAAATGGTCCTGGATAAAACATCCAATATAAGTGAACCTAACTATACAACGCAATTGTTGTACTAGTTTATTCACAGATATTAAGTTGTGATGAAAAGAAGGGACATAAAGAACATTGTGCAAAGTGATAAATTCATTTAAAGAGTAAGAGCCTGTACTAGTGACCTTCATTTTATATCCATTTGGAAGAGATACAAGATAAGGGATAGTTAAAGGAGTTATATTGAAAAGGACATCATTATTTGAGGTCATGTGATTAGTGGCACCAGAATCAATTATCCAAATTAATTTTGTAGGATTGGTGGTTTGTGTCAGCATACTAGAACTAGAACCAGACACTATAGAATCAGACAACAATATACCAGCAAAATTGGCAGATGCCATGATATGAGGTGAAATGACTGAATCAGACAGTTGAGATTGTTGAAGCAGATTCATTAACTGAGTGTACTGCTGCTGCGTTAGACCAGGTATCGCAGACATTTGACCCTCAGAAAATACCATAACACCATTCTTGATATTAAGAGTGAGACTAGATGAGTTTGGGTTGGAATCATTAGGAAATTCACTTTCTATAGTCACATTGGCTGCAATTCTCTTACCTTTGGTAAACTTGAAGTTAGAAGGAAACCCATGAAGCTTGTAACACTTATCAACTAAGTGTCCAGGATTCTTATAGTATTTGCAAAAGCGATTACTCAGGTTTCCTTTACTATGGTCAAAATTAACCCTTTGAGTATATTGTTTTTGAGGCTGAGCAAAAGGTGCTTTGTTGTTGAAGCCAGACACATTAAAGGATGTAGATTCATAACTGAAATTTAAACTGGGATTTACTTGTCTTTGTTTTTCATCTTGTAATAGGATGTTATAGATGTTATCAAGTGATGAAAGTGGTTGCATCATCAAAATGTTACTCCTAACCCCAACATATATCTCATTCAAACCCATTAGAAATTGGTGGATTCTATTCTCTTTCAGAAGTTCTGCTCTAATAGGGCATGCGCAAGCATTTATTTTATTACTACGCATTACCCTCAGTTCATCCCATATTTTTTTAAGTTTGTTTAATTAGAAAGCTATGTCAAGAGCTCCGTGCATAGTAGAAGAAAGTTATTTCTTTATATCAAAAACCTTCATACCATTAACTGCCCCATATCTTTTATTTAATTGTTCCCATATGCTTTTAGCAGTTTCTAAATATTGAATACTCTCAGCAATTTTTGGAGAAAGTGAACTGGTCAACCAACAGATGACCATATTATTACATCTGTCCCATTGTTTAATGTGTGGAGAATTTTCGGAAAGGTTTGAGGCAAGTACCATCTACGAAACCAATTTTATTCTTAGCAGACAAAGACACAATTATACTTCTCCCCCCCCCCCCCAAA